GGTGCCAATTCTAAATGGCCTGAAAGATTTTTAAGGAATGACACCGCAGTGTTTTCAGACATTTTTAATTTAATGTTGGATAATTGAATCTTTTGGTTCTTAATCTCAGACGGATGGTCATTTACAGCATGTCACACAATAATCCAAATGTCATTCATGCCTTCATTTAGATGGTCATTTACAGCATGTCCAAATCCAAATGTCATTCATGCCTTCATTTTGACCATGTAAAGCTACAGCAGCAAATGGAAGAGGACCCAGTTTTTAGGACACAGACTGCAGAGCTTTATTTCCACCTCAAGCTGAGAACCTTCTGGAATGTGTCTCTGTGTCTCTCTGTGTGTGCGTGTGTGTGTGTGCCTTTGTTAAACAAAGAGAGAGAAAGAGAGAGAGAGAGAGGGGATCATGGGTTTATAGCATCTAGTTGTTGAATATCCCTCACCTCATTATTGTTGTACATGTACTGGCTCATATAGGATGACGTGGCATAACGTTGGCTTTTATTAAATAATCACAAGCTAATGTATTTAGTTTGTCTCCTGTGGGCTGATGTAGAAATGTGGTCCATTCAACACCGTCTCCATTGAGAAGACTGGATCCTGACTCACTGTATAGAAAAAGAGCTTTCACTGGGTGGAGCTCAGCTTTATAATGTACTTATATATCCATCTATCCATTATGTCCACGTATTTCTTTGTAGGGTCGCAGGAGGTGGGAGGGGGCACTTGAGCCAATCCCACCTGTGGGCGAGTGTGGGGAACACAGAGGGCAGTTCATCTGTCCATCACAGGGCCACATAAAAAGACAAACACTCACACTCACACCTATGGTTAGTTTAGAGTGTCTGTAAAACCTAATCCTAACTCACACACACACAGAAAGATTGACTAGTAAGAATTAAGGCTCAAAACTAGAGAAGTATTGGTATCAGTACACAGTATTAGTACACAAATGAAATCAGGATGTAAAATAAGGGATGGGGACCACCCTGGTACGCCTGAAGTCCTTCAACTATCTAACTGCTAGTTTCTATGTCTTGGTATTTACTTTTCTACTACCAATGTGACATGTGTTAAATCGTGTTTAAATTAATAATTGACAAAATCAAAATTAGAAAAATGTCTGGTTTAACCTGAGCCTAAGGGGTTAGATGAACAGATTTGTGACATGCGGAGTAAATATTGACTCATCTGTGTTTGCACAACAGTGACACACTGACCAGCAGTGAGTCACCAGTGTCACGTTAGAGCCGATGACTGCTGTGATCTAAGGCAGAGTGAGGACGGTCCATCTGTGACCGTTAGCATCAGTGTCCTGTCAGACGTCCTCACTCTGCCCTTCAGGGAGACGTACCGTTCTGCTGTGAACCCCCATCAACTTACTCATAATCAGTGTTTAACAATAATAATGATCTGATACACCATTAAAAATTTACCTTACCACAGAATGAGACTAATGTGTGAGCTGATCCCGACTCTCCCCCTAAGCTTCCATTTTTTAACAGGAGCTGACATACCTGCATTACTGCCACCTACAGGCTATATTTATCTACAGGTAAAAAATAATGCTTTTAAATGTCCTGACAACTTCTTAAAGGAGGGGATGTGTAAATCAAATGAACACACCACCGTACACTCTTAGTGGACCATTAAAATGACTGAGGGTGTGTTTTTTCAAGCAACCTGAAGAATGAAAGTCAGCAACAAATAACCAACCTCACCGTTTTAGATTTAGATTTAAATATTACTCTGGTTTTTAGCTATTTTCTAACACCTCACTCTCCATAGACTATCAGAAAATATCCTGAGTTGTTTCAAATGATGCCAGTGATCCATCTTCTTCTTCTGTATAAATCTTCGATGTTGAAAAGTGTCCATTGTTTTATGTAGACCCACTCCCGGAGCAAATATGACACTGGGAATACAAGCTCAAAGACAGATGAGCGCCATTAAAATTAAATCCATTTTATGACTGTGGGTTTCATATACTTCAGTTCTCTGTGTGCTGCAGACTGACTGAGTGCAGAGTGTGTGGGTGAAGCTGCTCCAATCCACCTACTCACTGCAGAGGAGCAGAGAAACACCACAACACAATGAGATCTGACGTAACACACCTACACGGGAAATCACAGGCTGGACGGGGGGCTAGAGTGGTCTGTGGAGGGGGTCCTTCATCAAACACTCCACCTGTTTGCTGCAGCTCATAACATTCACAATTAACAACTGAAAATCAAGGACATTCAATTCATCGTTTTTCCTTCATCACAAACTTTCAAGGATACAGCGTTACACTAAACAAACTAATGATATACTTTTTTCCTCTCTCTCGTAACATGTTTCGTTACAAAATTCAGTGAGAAAAAAAAGGATGTGACGATTACACATCTGTCTATATATAGGCTATATGTACATATCTATATAACTAATGTGGGTAAATGTAGGATTGTCACCGTAGGTTTTATGGATGTGTTAATGTGTGTGTATATTTCCGTGATGCATTGGTAATGTGAAGGACATCACAGAATGAGTAATGCTGTGGATTGTGTCTTTTTTGTTGTTGTTGTTGTTGTTGTATTTTTATCACAGTTAATTAACACTGTAGGAACTCACAGTCCATGTTCGTCTGTCGGTGCAGGGCAAATCTGAGAAACACATTATTTTTAACTGTCCTATCAGGAAGGTTATGCTACCAGAAATTATTTTTTTTATTTTGGTTTATTTTTATTTTAGATTCTGCAGACATTTCTAGAAATTACATTTTTTATTTTAGATTCTGCAGACATTTCAATAAAAGAAAAACATTGGGGATAACAGATGTTCATTGTTATTTAATTTTTATTTTTCTTCAGCTTCTCATCTTTCTCTCTCTCTCTCTCCCTTACACACACACACAGATGCACACACACACACACTGCATAATAAAAATCTCACATGGGAGGGTGAAGGATTTCCCAATAGGGACCAAATCCCGGGGAAAAGAGAGCGGGGAGCAGGTGTACAGAGGAGGTTTGTGTGTGTGTGTGTGTGTGTGTGTGTGTGTGTGTGTGTGTGTGTGTGTGTGCGGGAGAGGGGGTAGAAATATGAAAAAAAGCGCTCGTAGAAAAAGGGCAGGGGGAGGGGAGTAAGAAGTAATTTATAAGGCATTTTAAAGCAGCAGTGTTTAATCTTCACACACACACACACACACACACACCTCCTAACCCATGCTCAGTCTCTACACACGATTATTCCGACAGATGATCTATTAAATGTTGTTTTGGTTCATTCTTTTTGGCCATAATTATGTTGATGACTGTTATAGATTATTTTATGACTAACTCCTGAATATATTTGACTAATTAGTCCCTAAAATGTCTACCATGGAATCCTAACACCTGAGGGGATTTTTTTTATGGTTCGCAGGGACAGAAATGTAATATTTGTGTTTATTGCACAGAGCAGTAAAACCAAAATGTCTGAGGAGATGAAACACAAATCAGAGAAAAACCAGATTAAATCAGGACAAAACTGTAAAGGAAGGTTGACACAAATACACATGAAAACAACACTGGTTTATCCCATTTGATATATAATGATATTAATTGTAACATCATTTTTTTTTACAAACACTAACGATCTGTCCGTCTGTCTCTGTCGCTCTGTGACCTTTTCACCTCCTTCTACATCCAGGAGGGTCAACACCTGATCCAGGAGAAGCCCGAACTCAGCCCTGTTGTCAGGAAGAAGCTGGAGGAGATCAGGGAGTGCTGGCAGGATCTGGAGAGCACCACGCAGGCCAAAGCTCGTCAGCTCTTCGAGGCCAATAAGGCCGACCTGCTGGTGCAGAGCTACGAGAGCCTGGACCAACGGCTGGGTCAGCTGGAGGATCAACTGGCCTACGTGGACCAGGGACAGGACCTGACCACCGTCAACAAGCAGCTCAAAAAACTACAGGTATTATCATTATTCCATTTCATAAGTACCAAAATATCTGGATAAATGTATAATTTATCATTTAAATGTTTTATCGTAATAATGTACAGTTGCTAATATTGATCAAAACTTGGACAGATAGCTTTCCAAAAAATTCTCACTAATACTCACTCACTCGCTCCCTCATCACCACATCCTCTTTTAAAACCTTCGCTCCTAACTCCTCTCCACCCTTCTCCTTCTCCTCCTCCTCATCAGACCTTTGAGACTCAGGTGGAGGCGTGGTATAAGGAGGTGGGGCAGCTCCAGGTTCAGGCCTCCTCCATACCTCAGCAGACTCAGGTCAAAGAGACGGTGGCAGAACGTCAGTCTAAAGTCGAGGCCAGGATGATCCGTCTGATTGAGCCACTGAAGGAGAGACGACGCCTCCTGCTGGCGTCCAAAGAAGTCCATCAGGTTGGCCGGGATCTGGAGGACGAGATCGTGAGTTTGACGTGTTATGATTTTTTTTCCCCTGATTGTTCACAGAACATATTCCCTTTATTTTACATAGAGAAACAGCAATATTAAAAATAAAATAGCTTTCAAATATGCGATGAAAGCTAATGATGGCTAACAGTTGCTACTCTGTTTTATTTGTAGTTGTGGATCCAGGAACGCATCCCAATGGCGATGTCTCATGAACATGGTACCACGTTGCAAGCTGTCCAGCAACTCATGAAGAAGAATCAGGTAAATAAACAACAAATCAGTATTTATGCTCCACTAAAGCTTTTGAAGAACTTTATATACAACCTGATTAGATATGAGAAAATTAACGCAGCACTTGTTGTAGTAGAGTTTTATAATGCGATGTTTACTTTTGTCCCTCTGCGTTAGACCCTTCAGAGGGAGCTGCAGGGCCACGGGAGCAGGATCGAGGACGTCCTGGAGCGGGCGGGGATCATTGGCTCCTTACGCAGCCCCGAGGCTGACTGTGTCAGAGCCGGCCATGACCAGCTGGCCCAGCTGTGGACTGTGCTCTGGACCGAGACTGAGAGAAGGCAGTTGCTTCTGGATGCCATGTACCAGGCGCAGCAGTACTATTTTGATACAGCTGAAGTGGAAGCCTGGCTGAGCGAGCAGGAGCTGCATATGATGAATGAGGAGAAGGGGAAGGTGAGTGTGGGTGTGAGTTCGCATTTTTAACAGAGGAGCCATTTGTCACGATTTTTGATTTTCACCAAATTGGATGTACCATCATTAGGTGCGGAGTTACACATTAGGAAAATACTTTTATTTGTTGAAGTTTTATTAGGTTTATTATTGAGGTTTAATGATATAAACATGGCTGTGATCCATATAAACTGTTTGAAAACACATCTGTGATAAAAAATACCAGTGTATAAGCATGGTATCCTGAGGTTTTTATGTCACTGGGTTTATTTAGAAGCAGCAGCTTGTTTTTAATGTGTTTCTTCCTCTGATCACCAGGATGAGCCAAGCACACTGCAGCTGCTGAAGAAGCACTTGGTCCTGGAGCAGACCATCGAAGACTATGCAGAAACCGTGGGCCTGCTGTCGCAGCAGTGTCGGCAGCTGCTGGAGATGGGTCATCCTGACTGGTGAGAGCGGTAGCACCAACATGATGACATTTCTTTATTTATCTATCGTAGCTGCATGAACTTTTTCATGTTAGAGCTTAGTCGCAGTTGAAATTCACTTTCTGTGCAACTCCATACACCTGGAGGTAGCAGAAGGAAACCCTGTACACTGCCCCTTCCCCTACTTTTATTGTTGTATGTGACCAAATAAACTTTTCTCACTCGTTTCCACAGCGAGCAGATCAGCAAGCGCCAGTCACAGATCGACCGACTGTATGTGTCCTTAAAGGACCTTGTGGAGGAGCGGAAGAGTCGACTGGAACAGCAGTACTGGCTCTACCAGCTGAACAGAGAGGTAGATGAGCTGGAGCAGTGGATTGCACAGAGGGAGTTGATTGCCAGCTCACCTGAACTGGGTCAGGACTTTGAGCATGTAACAGTAAGTGTGTCACTGAAGGAAGGGCGTGGTTTAAAAACAACATCCAGCTACAAATAGGACTTAACCATTTGTCAGGGCTATTTGTCAGATAATCAGAGATTGTATTATTGTTCTTTACTGTCTGGTAGGGTTGAATCCCAAAAAGATGATTGGAAACTTTTTAGTATTTTTCATTTTTCAGTAAGAATGAGGGCAAAAATAGTTTGTTCTATTGTGTAACATATAACCTTCATTGTGCATTGTAAGTTAAAAATAGAATTTTTTTTTTTACTCACACACTTGTTTTTTTGTGTAGGTGCTGCAGGAGAAGTTCATCGAGTTTGCCTCGGAGACGGGCAGCGTTGGACAGGAACGAGTGACAGCGGTAAACCAGATGGTTGATGAGCTCATTGACTACGGCCACTCAGAGGCCGCCACCATCGCTGAGTGGAAGGACGGTGTGAACGAGGCCTGGGCTGACCTTCTGGAACTCATGGAGACACGTACGCAGATGCTGGCTGCCTCACATCAGCTGCACAAGTTCTTTTCCGACTGCAGAGAGGTAACTGAACCGACAACCACGACAGCAGAAACTCATATGTCATTAGAAGAATCTTAATTATCATTAACCTCACATGTTTGTGAGTTAATTTTCTGGTTTTACTGTAAAAACTTAAAAGAAAAGTTATCTGGATATTTACACACCTATAAAAAGAAACCTCCTGATTTTTGTGTTTTCCCTTCTAGGTTTTGGCTCAGATTGCAGACAAACATCGAAGATTGCCAGAAGTCCGTGCTCGGCAGGGCAGCACCACCAACACCAGCACGCTGCAGAGGCTCCTGAACAGCTTTGAACAAGACATACAGCTGCTGGTCACACAGGTACAGTACCATGGACCTGAGCAACATCTCCTGCTTTATGATTTACAGACAAGTGTTGTTTCCCAAGTTTAAGGATAGATTGTGACTCTAGCATAGAAGGAAACACAGGCATCAGCTCAGCAGAAGCCTATTTTTATCCATTACACTGCAGTATGAACCACTGTGTCACACTCTCTTTTAGTGTTGCTTTGTGTTGAATCTACTTCCAAAACCAAATACAATGGTACATTTTACTACAAAAAGATCTAAAAACCAAATCTGTGTTCGGTCAACGTCAGAGCTGCAGTGTTTTCTACATCAGTTGAACAAAACCAAACTCTTTGTCTTTCCCCACCTCAGTATCAGAGCTGCGGTGTTTTCTGCGTCAATTGAAAAAAAACAAACTCTTTGTCTTTCCCCACCTCAGTTTTCACTTCCTTCTTGTTCAGTTTCTTTGGTGTTTCTTACATTTTCACTCACCATACTTGCAGGTGCGTCAGCTGCAGGAGAGTGCAGCCCAGCTGAGGACGGTGTATGCTGGCGAGAAGGCCGAAGCCATCGCGTGCCGGGAGCACGAGGTCATGCAGTGCTGGAAGGATCTGCTGACTTCCTGTGAGGACTGCCGAGTGCAAATCACAACGGAGACAGACAAACTCAGGTTCTTTGCTATGGTCCGAGATCAACTTATGTGGATGGACTCCATCATCTGTCAGATTGGGACAGGAGAAAAACCCAGGTAGTTTGATTTTAATTATAAACGATAACAGAATTCTAATGTGGTCTTTTTGAAGTCGACTTTGAAGGCATCTCAGCCAACAGTTCATGCCTGTTCATGAGGTTAAATTCATAAATGTGTGTGTCTGTCTGTGTTTTTTCCTTTTGCAGGGACGTGTCATCAGTGGAGGTGCTGATGAATTATCACCAGAGTCTAAAGAATGAAGTTGAGGCACGCAGCCACAGCATATTTGACTGCATCGAGATGGGGAAGATGCTGTTGGCTGCCAGAAACCCTGCAGCTGAAGAGGTAACATCAGGAAATGGGATGAATTTAAATCATGACATGAACTTAATATGAATGACAATAAGTGGAAATAAAGAATTAATTTCACTTTAAAAAGAGAGCAGGGATGCAGGTGGGGATGGATGGATGATGGATGGATGCAGATTGATTCCTGAATTTTTTGTTCAGATAAAGGACAAGTTGGAAAAGGTGATTGCTAAGCAGCATGAGCTGACTGAGAAGTGGGACAAGCACTGGGAAGTACTGCAGCAATGTGAGTACACACATACAAGGTCACACAGGTACTCGGTGGTAAGTGGAGGACAGAGAGGTTTTTTTTTGTAATGCCATGTCTTCTTTTGTCTCCAGTGTTGGAGGTCCACCAGTTTGCACAGGAGGCTGCAGTTGCAGAGGCATGGCTGTCAGCTCAGGAGCCTCTCATCAGCAGCAGAGAGCTGGGCACCAGCGTGGACGAAGTTGAGCAACTGATCCGTCGACATGAAGCGTTCCGCAAAGCCGCTGCCACCTGGGAGGAGCGCTTCAGCTCACTGCGACGACTCACCACGGTCATATTCTCTCCAATGATTTAATTTTCCTTAAATTGCAGGAGAGCGGGAAAGGAATAATTTTTTTTTAAATGTGTCTTTTATGTAGGTGGAGAAGTTGAGGGCAGAGCAGAGTAAACTACCCCCGACACCCCTGCTGGGGCGAAAAGTCTTCCTGGATCCCCAAGATGCCTTACCCACTCCATCCACCCTTCCCCGCCTCCCGATCTCTCCTGTCATTAGACAGACCATTTACGAACAGAATGAAGCCAGCTCACCTCCCTCACCCTCACCTGCCACTCCCACACCCTCCCCCTCATCTACAGTTCGTCGCTTAGGATCAACCGTTGCCAACTACACCCCTGTCATGAATGGCTCGAGTTACCGTCACACTTTGGAGCCACGGCACGGTGCTACGGCGGCTGTGCCTGCGGGACACGGTAAACCCTCACAGTCCTCGATAGCGTCCATAGCCACGGCAGCCATGCTTGTTTCAGCCAACCAGGCACGAGAAAGTGTCAGCACAGCGAAAGAGCAAGCGCCAAAGGTGATGAGTCACTTACAACCTCCGCAGACTGTGAAAGAACAGGAAGTGAAATCATCTCCATATTTAAGACAAGCTAAAATCAAGCACCTGGACGATGCAGTGACCCCTCTGCTCGTTGCCAGTCGTTTGGAGAAAGCAAGGGAGAAAAGGGAGAGAGAGATGATGATGGGAGAGATAGGGACTGGGAAAGCAGAGGTGGCAGTGATGGCCGAGGTGGTGCTTCAGGAGCCAGGCAGGGAGCGTCTGCACAGTGAGCCCAGCAGAGGGGTGCGGGTGTCCAGAAGTGAAACACTGGCCAGCGTCGAGCCTCAGGTCCAGACACACATGTACCACAGGGACCACAGGATAGAACATCAGCTGTCCAGTGAGCAGCTGATCCAAGCACGTCGGGACGAGCTGCCTCAGGAGGTGTGGAGGGAACAGGCCGAGCGGAGAGACAGACGGACCCTGGAGAGACAAACGTCCAGTGAGCAGGAGGGTCACGGAGGCCACGAGGGTCGTAGGAGAGAGAGGGACCGACATCGACTGGAGAGACAAGAATCCAGCGAGCATGACACCGGGCACTCAGACAGACGCTCAGCAGGAGGGTGAGGGAGAGGGAGAGGGAGAGAGAGTGTGTGTGTGTAAATATATAAAGCAAATTTTCTAAAAGTTTCCAAAATGTGTTTTTCCAGGGAAAAGAGATCGACCATGGCCGAAATCGTGGAACAACTGCAAGAAAGAGAAGCAGCACAGGTTGATTTTAATATGATTTTTTTTTTGTTTTTATTTTAGAAAATGTAAATCCATGTATGAATCCATGTGTTTAATTTCCAGATTAAATCAATAGTGAGGGTGGACAGGGCTAGAAATGGCTTGTACAGTGTGTAGATAAGAATAGAAAAGGAGGATTTGGATTTTTGGTTGTGTTATTTTTAGAGAGACAGTTGATGTAGGGTAGCTGTTGAGGATAGAGCTGCCAGTTGGGAGGAAAAGACGGAAAAGCCAAAGAAGATTAACAGTTTTAGCGAAAGAGGAAAGGAAGAATTTTAGTTTAATGGTAGAGTAGGCAATCGATGAGATGAGACTGAGGCAGATAATTCACTACAGGAACTACATTTTCTAAACTCTCCTGTCTGCCTTTAGGCCCGCGGTGAGGTGTCTCGCCTCCCTAATGGCCTGCCAGAAAAGTCACGCCTCGACCGACCCCGAGCTCGGGACAGGCCTAAACCACGGCGCCGACCACGACCAAAAGAGCCAGGAGAGACGACGCGGCGGTCTAGGTCTGCTCCTGCACAGAGCAACCCTGCAGTCCTGCAGCAGCCGAGTCACACCGCACATCATGAGGGCTTCCTTTTTCGCAAGCTAGACATTGAGACTCTAAAAAAGAGCACTAACAGGTGGGTGTCCTGGGTCGTAACAACAACAACAACATCTAGACGACAGGTTAGGAGTAGTGGAGGCGGAGGTTGGAAATGTGTCATGATCTTAAGGCTTTTGCATATTGAAATTGTGCTGCTTATACAAAAAATAATAAAGTTATTTGGTTTTCAGGAAGGTTATTGTAGCATGATTTTAAAAAATCCTCAGTTGCGAAGTCATCCAACATTAGGACAATCCACATCTTGTTTGTACAAATATATTGTTCTCATTCTAAATTAAACACTTTCATATGATGTTAAAGTAAGGGTTTTATGTTAGAACTTATACCGTGTTCCTGTTGTTTGTTAGTCATGACACCTCCCTACCTCCATTCTCCATTTACTGATCACAAAAAAATTACAACTGGGCAAGCATGACTTTAGCATGCTAAGCTAAAATGCTAACGTAATCTGCTGCAAATGCACGACAGATACCAGCTCACCTCTGTTGGTTGCGTCAGTGTGCGGCTTTCCCAAGCTTACATAACAACTGCAGCTGTTTATATTTGACAATGCTTCAACATGAATGTTTCATAAAGGATATTTATCAAAGACTCCAGACATTGTAAATGCAGGTCCTCTATTACTGACTTGCTTGTTGCAAAAGAAATTTACAAGGTTGCCCGACAACCAACCCTGTTTCCAGTCAGCTTTTTTAACATGCGAATGGCATTTTACGTTGTTTCTGGGCTAAGTTGTTTTCTTTTCTTCACGCACCGTGCTATCCTAGAAAGAAACACAAACATTTATAGTTGGTCAGAAAATTACGGCTACATGATCAGTGGTATTTGAAGAACACAATTATATGAACTCAGAAACCAGCTCTTGAGAATCTCGCAGCATGTCGAGATCATTATGCATGATGCTAAGTGCACATCCAGTGAGAAAAGAGACTGGCTGCTGGCTGCAGCTGAGGGAAAGAACACTGGAAACTTAACTGACAGTTGCTGTATGTGTTGTTCCAAAGCCCATGTACATGCACACATGCACACACATACACTGTAGATTGTTTTGTGAGGACTTTTGTCAGATACAAATCAATATACATTATAGTATTCATATAGTAAGGAATGTCAAAGTGTCCTCACAAAAATATCAAGTATAGCTACAACAATACCACGCACACATACATGCGGATAACAACCTGCTTCCTCCAGAGAGACACAGATGACAAAGTCCTCTCTGCACTGCCCTCTAACGGCTGGACTGACAACTGCCCACTATAAAACTCATCCTTTTCCAGCTCGGGATGAGTCCCACGCATGTGTCCCCTCAAGGCAAAGGATGAATGTCTTATATGTACATACCCAGAAATGTACATAGCAAGGTAAAGCATAATCCTGGATGGCTGAGCAGTAACTGTAAGTGTGAATCCTTCTCCCCATCTACGTCTCGACTCTCTTCTTGACGTGGGTTTGGAGAAGTTCTGCTGAAGAGTTTTTCTACCAGTCATTATAAAGGCAGATTGTTTTTGTGAGAATGACTGGACTTCAGCCTGTCCCTGTTTGAAAGCCCCATGATTCAAGGTTTATAAATGTGCCCATTGTTATTGAGGTATTATTCAGGATAACATGGTCCTTTAATTTACACTGTGTCTACGTCAATGAGAGTAAAGTTAGAAGGTTACTGTTGGAAAAAGAAATTGAACATAATGTATTGTCTTTGATGTCAAATGCCACATACATGGCTAAATTCAGACTTACACGGTGAAATCTGAAAACATCTTCCATTCGAATCAGTCATGGTAGAAATACAGTTATTTGGGATTAAGATACAACATTGACACAGACATCGTGTGTTGCTTGAATAATACCTATATTTGGTTGTGACTACCATTGTCGGAATGCTGTGTGCATGCAGACATGCTTAAGGAATGAAATATTAATGCATTCATTAACGACGACGTGCTGTGAAGTGTGAAATGACCACAATGCCACTGAACCAAATACGTCTGTTTTTTCTCCTTTCCTCCCTGGTGCTGCTGGTTGTTCATGTCGTCTTCTCCAAGGTAACTCCTATATAAGCTTCCCAAACGCACTCCCACCCATATCCAAACTGTACGCTCTCTACAGTTTGTACACATGGCATCCCCCCCGCCCCCCCCCCCCACAGCTCTCTTCCTCGCGCGCG